AAAAAAAAAACTAATTCCTTGTGTGATGTTGTCGGCAGATGGATCCCGAAAAGCCCACTGTAGCCGAGGAGGTTAGATTGAAGCGGCTTCTTCAATTTAGTAACCTCCTTGCCGGCGGTGCTGCGTCTACGGCTGCCCGATCTTCAGCCTCAAGTTCAAGCAGCACGAGAGCAACTGTTGGTCCATCTGCAGCTGCTGGCTCGGCAGCCCCGACCGTCCATGGGGGCTACACTCTTGGAGCTTCCTCATCTGTCGGCTCTTCGTCGGCTCCACCTGTTGCCCCATTTGCTGGGGGCTCCACTCTTGGAGCTTCCTCATCTGCTGGCCTTTCATTGGCCCCACCTGTTCCAACATCATCTGGGGGCTACACCCTTGGAACTCTATCTGCTGGCCCTTCGTCGGCCCCACCTGTTCCCACATCTTCTAGGGGCTACACTCCTGGAGCTTCTGTCAGCTCCTCCGCACCTCGAGATGTATTATCTTCAGGATCAGCTTCAGTAATTAATCCTCGATCTAGCTGTCCTGTCGAGGGATCTAGTGGTGCCGCTGTCATGTTCCTCAATGGTTCAGACTCTGCAGGTACGTGTAATGATTTTTGAACGCTGTCTTGTAATGTTGATGGTCTTTGCCTAACCTGGTGTATGGTCTGCAGATCTGTCGAAGATTCTTCAGCGTCTCTTGCAGTCAGCTGCAGCAATTCGTCCTGGTTTGGATGCATGTTCAACACAGCAACTTCCCCGTCGCCAGCCTCTGCAGGAGCTTAACCCAGGTAACATGGTAGCATTGTATGCAATAACTTAGTTCACTATGCAGTGATGAAAATGTGTAAAAGGAAGTTGCATTGTAAATCATATTACAGGGCGTGCGAAAGCTGGCAACAACACTCAACTTGTTGATTCATATTCTTCAGAAGAAGATGACCCGAATCGCCAGCGCCAGATTTCAGCATTCAATAGGAGACGGATGCAACTTCTTAAAAACAACAAGTGGCGGGAGCAGCTCCCCTCAACCTTCTCTCAAGGTAAGTTTTGCAGTGTTTAATCTTTTGGTGTCTTCGCTCTTGGACATTCTTAATTGATTCTAGTGTTGATATTTTGTTCCTAGTCATGCTGTGTTTGCTTATAAGCTTAACTGGGATTTTATTTTGTGCTTTCTTCTCTTGCAGGTTTTGGTGATGAGAACTCTTCCCCTACTAAATCCTCTCCTCCCAAGAAGAGGGGACCTGGGCGCCCAAAGGGGAGCAAGAATAAAGCGACAAAGCAGCGTTCCTCAAAAGCTGAATCTGAAAAAGGCAAGCTCTTTTAACTGAAAGAGGTATTTACTGCTTGACATTTGTGCTAATTTTTCTTTTGCATTGTAGATGTTTACTGCCATGAGTGTGATGGGGAGGCTGAAGGTCGCCGCGTTCTTTTAAGTTGTGGACACCTGTTCCACGTTCATTGCCTCAACAGAACTCAAGCTGAGAAGAAGCTCGAAGGCCATGAAGGTAACTTGTGCCCGTTCTGTGGGGTAGAGTATACAAAAAAAATTCCATATTTTGGGTGAATTTATTTGACACTTGCAAGGGAATGATCTCTTCTTGTATTAGTGAACACTTATTTGACTTTATTTTACATGTCACTTTTCTGTACATATTTGCCTGCCTAGATATTATCTTTGTTACATGAAATAAACAATTTCACAATTTAATCTTGCTTTGAGTTTTGTATCATTGTAAATTTCATCTGCCCAATATTAAGTGATCCAATTGCAGCTCTGCTGATGGTTTATTACTTTTGGGAAGAAAAGTATACTGTTCGCATTTCTGTTTATCGGCTCAGCTGTAATTTGAAAAAGCTCCTACACAGACTGTCAGCGCTTATTTCCATTTAGTAGATCAATAGAATATAGGTTTTGCTGAGTACTTGGTTGAATTTGGAATATCTTTGAACTGATTATTCTTGCTTGCTAAATGAAGGTTTCAATGGTAAATTTTGATGTATAACAAGACCTTTGAGTGTTCTGTGCACAATATTGCTTTATCATAGCTGGATAGGGAATTACTGTTTTTTATGTAGATGGACCAGTTTTGGTGAATAACTGCCACATCTTTATGTTAAGTTTCTACAGAGTAAGATTATTAATCAGCTGGGCCTTAACTATCACTTATGCAACAGTGAATAATACTGGAACTGAAGGGCATCCATTACTCTTTAATTTTACTCAAAATTTTGTTGGCAGTTTACATTTAACTTCAAGTTTCTCAGTTAAGTTAGGTTGATTTAATTTACAGTGGAACTGCAATGCAACAGAATGAAACATAAGCACCCACTGCACTCATCTTCAGATTTTTCATTAATCAGAGTACATATGCCGTAAAAATATTTTTACTC